TTTGCTAAATATCAATTTCTATATCATATTCGTGCCGTCTATTCGATCAGTAGAACGCTTTAAAACTTTCATTTCTGTTCATCTTAGGAATTACAAATTACGTTACACGACGCAAGAAAAATGGTGAAAGTAGGATAACGGACATAGAGATGTAAGTTTTTTTTTTTTTTTTTTTTTTTTTTTTTTTCTTGTCTTCCCATGGATGAAGATTTACGTGTCTCTATGTTTCGATTTTAAAGTATATAAATAAATAAATATATATTTGTTTATTTATTTATTTATTTATTTATTTATTTATTTATTTATGTTTATATATATATATACATATATATATATGTATATATATTATATAGTTTTAGGATTGTGGAGGTCCGTAAGCTTTTAGAAATTTAGAACGTTTTTCTATCTCTTGGGGCTTTCGTTCGTTTCTTCTTCTTATTAATGGCCAGTAGAAGGGGGTGTTGTATTATTATTAATTATTATTATTATTATTATTATTATTATTATTATTATTATTATTATTTTTATTATGATAATTATTGTTGTTGTTGGTTGTTTATTTCTTTTTATTATTATTATTATTATTATTATTATTATAAATTACATATATTCGGTCGAGAAGTGTGTTATCTGAAAAAGCAAAAAAAGAAGTAAAGTATGAAGACAAAACAGAAAAGTTGGTGGAGAAAAGGAAAGAAAGAAAAAAAAAAAAGAAGTAAAAAAAGAAGGGAAAAGAAAGTAAGAGAGAAAAAAAAGAAAAAAAAAACAATAAATAAAAAAAAAAAAGAAAAGAAAAGGAGAAAGGAAAAAAAATAAGAAAGTTAGAGGAGGGTGTCGGTTGATACTTGTTTTCTGTTTTTGTTATTACAGGCTGTTGATTTGCTTTATCGGTGTCTGGCCCCGCATGGCTCCACTAAACCTGTAAGGCATGGTTTCTTTTGGGCACTTTAACGCCAAACATCCTCCTACTGGGCCCTACGATTCTTATTTCGAGTCGTCAACGCTTATCTTTTTTAGACGAAGCTCGAAGAGGAGTTCGGTAACGAGGAACTACGGAGCCTGGAGTCGTCCTTGGTCGAAGCAAGCGCGTCCACGTCAGGTTCACAGACGACCGCGCAATCTTCTTCGGGTTCGATGATGATGGGTCCTATATCGGTGGTCTTGCCATCGCTCTCGCCGTTGCCAACGAATCAACAGGAGGATTCAACGGTGGTGGCTACCTTGATACAAACTGCTACGCCAGTACTAACGACGACATCGCAATCGGCTACGGCAACGGCAGTGGCATCGGCATCGGTTTTGTCAACGACGTCGTTAACTTCGATGATGGTCTCACCGATGGCAGTTGTATCCAACGACGTACCATCGCCTACGGCAACCGGTGGTACACCAACGACTGTGCCAACGGCAATCGCAACACCAACGACAGCACAGTCGACGACGCCTAACGCGACGACAACTTCTACCACAACGCCTCCGCATAATTCGAACGCCATTACGGGCTCTCTAGTTGACCATGAAAATTCTCTCGACGTAGTCGATCCGGACGATCCAATTGGCAGTATATATTCCGCCGCTTTCAAGGACGACAAAACATTGTCGTCATTACGTTCGAACAATCTTTTATTATCGCCATTGTCAAGGAGTTCCTATCATCGGCAGCTTCAACAAGCTTCCTCGATGCCAACCTTGAATCTTTTCGAACCCGTAGTCGATCAACTTGAACAACGTAACGCTGCTCCGATAAATGGTAAAAGATTCAATCATGGTAATCGTACGAGCCCGTTACCAGGTACAAGATCAAGCAAAAGAAGCAAACAGGATTATCAACATCGTCAGGATTATTCTACGTCTATACAACTCGAGGCTACTACTACCTCAACGCCTTATCCTAATTTCGGTGATATTACTTGGTCGAACTGTCATCCTGAACCACTGGCCGTTAGCCGGTGGCTTCGTATTACGTCCAGCCGTAAGCAGTACAACTTTAATATTCACTGACACAAGACCCCACCTACTCCGGGCTAAAGGACGAACATTTTTCTGCTTTTCCATTTCATAGTTCGATAGTTCTTTTCTCTCTCTCTCTCTCTCCCTCTCTCTCTCTCTCTCTCTCTCTCTCTCTCTCTCTCTCTCTCTCTCTCTCTCTCTCTCTATTTCTTTTTTCCTTCTTTTTTCTTTTCCTTTTTTCCTTACCTTCCTTCATCAATATTCTGAAGCCTGCAGGAGAAGGGACGGTCTTTGTAATGCATCGCCTTTTCTTAATTTACTTTTCTTTCTTTTTTTTTTCTTTTTTTTCTTTTTATTCTTTTTATTTTTTTCTTTTCTTTTCTTTTCTTTTTACCTTTATTTTTATTATCTCATCAGCTCATTCTTTTTTACGTTCAACTTGTGTCCACAAAATTCGTTCAGTTTTATTAATAACAAAAACAAAAAAAATATATATATATATATGTATATATACATATATATATATCTACTTTATTCCGTTTTTGTATAT